TGCAAGGGGGATTCTCGTCTTCAATCGCCTTTATGGGCCATTACTACCTGTGTTATGAGAAATATATGATATTTTGTGAGGGCTTTTTCGACAAGCCTACAAATGAGCGCTTCTGTTCACTGAACTCGTAAAGAGATATTGTGGATTAAGTCACATTCACGTGCAGCCTGGGTTACGATTGGAAGTCAGTTATGGTTAATGTACTATGGTGTCTCAACCTGCCATTTAACCAATCTTTTTGCAAGAAAGCTATGCTAAGCAAAAGTACTGACCTAAAGGTACACCCTTGCCATTGTGTACTTTGCAGGCCATATACTACTGTAATTTCGTGTTAAATTACTGGGACTGAAGATGTGATTGGAAAGCTCAGATTATTATAGAGGAAGCAGCCATATTTGCAGCAAATTTATATGTTCAGTGTTACCATTACCTATCTCGTTTATGCATAACTGTAGTCGTATCAGTGCTTACTGCTCACATCACGTCAAAAGCTCAGATTATTATAGAGGAAGCAGCCATATTTGCAGCAAATTTATCATGCTCACTATTACCATTACCTATCTCATTTATGCATAACTGTAGTCGTATCAGTGCTTACTGCTCACATCACGTCAACCCCGCTCCAAACTGTGTTATGAATGAAGAGTAACCTAGCCATGCTGTGAAGCCACAGTTTTTAACCGCACGTTGTCTGAGTCCAGCGAATCCATCGATGTAATGGTCCATGCAAGAGTGGCCATCATTTTATGTTGCCAACAACATAATGAGCAACTAATATCAGGAACACACAGTGCAATTTGCCACGGTCTCGACCATCCAAGAAGCACTTGTATGGGAAGAATTCCAAAAGGAGCCCTTGCTCAAATAATGAAGCATTGATTTGCTCAACGTCATGCAATTTGACTAGATTGGGCGGGACCCGTAATACTGGGCAGGGTTTGAGCACACTGTGATTAGGGGCTTTTAAAGCATGTAAAAATGAATTCACCTTACCAGAGATATTTTAGTAAAAAAAAAACTTATTAGAAACAGTGCAGCTGCCGGCAATAAGTGCGAAAGCCCCAAGATTAGAAAGAGGCATGACCGCTCACATTTTTGTTTTCAATGTGGAAGATTTTTGATTTTTTTCCCTTTTCCTTTTTTGTATTTTCGGTTTTTGATCGTTTACCACTTTTACTCAGTGTTCAGTGTAACTGTTAATGCTGTCGCACTGGATCGTATTGTGTAACTACACTGTTCAACTGAAAAAAGCAGTAATACTTTCCACAAATGGCCTAGCCATGACGAAAGTGCGACTTTGTTCAACATAATAGATTCTACTTACCATTGTCATTTGACATTTACCTACAAACGTCAATCTATGTGATTGTTTGGCCGTTGAGCCCTTTCCAGTAAAGGTCACACGTAGATGTCGATCGTTGGTTGGTCTTTTGACGAGGATGGTCCGGCTATTATAATGGAGAATTTTGACGCTCGACTTCATTAATTTTTAATAAGTAGCGGAATCATCATGCGAGTTCGTCATAGCGATGGAGAGGAATGGAAGGGGGCCCATATTACAAGGTTGTTCGGAAAGTTTCTGCCAAAGTTTTGCAGTCTAGACTTATTTGGAAATGTTTTGGAAGCTTCCTGGAGTTGGCCTCTATGCACACCACCCGCTTCTGTGCGTATAACATAGTCGGCTCCTTCTCCCTTG